TTTTTTTTTGAGTTGAGAAGGTCCAGTTCTATACTTATTATTTGGGTCTGGGTATTTTTGGCTTCAACACTTGTTCCTGGTTAGGAAGTCAAAAACAAGGGCCTAACCACTCTTCACTTGGATAGTAAAACACATGCTCACTTTTTGCAGTGACCCTGGAAACAGAAGGGGAATTCTTATAAATCACAAAGGAAAATAAATAACTTCACTCATGGAGGGAAAGAGACAGCTTGAGAAAAGGGACTTTGGAAAAAGGCTGTCTCTAGACAGCAGTCTTGTGGTAAGTACTAAATATTCATTTAGCACTCTATATGTTTTGGCTTAAAATGCATTATTCTTTGACTGTTATTTCCTGAACCCTGTGCTTTTGAAACCTCTATTCCAGTTATCCCATTAGCAATATCCCCTGAGATTTTGTTTCATTTATTTTTTACAAAGTCAAAAGCCAGCAAATTATTGGAATGTTTGTGTAGTGTCATAATAGGAAAATGTCATAATCTGTCAGCATTATATATAATTATATTAATTCCAGCTGAAGTAGACATTAACCTATACAGAAACACTACTGTACAGCTGATGCCAGATGCCAAGCCTATATATAGTTGTTCCGTTGCCATTTATCTTAAGTTTGGGGTAAGTTGAATGAGAATTCAATAGAGCGTCAAATATTGAAGAGTGAAGAAAGTCTCTGAGATCTTCTTAGGTATGTAAATTTGTTCGACTGTCCATAAACTTTCTTTCTTAAAGTTTTAATGATGATAAGCATCATTCTTAACAATAATGATAAGCATCATTCTTAACAACATGGTTGGGTTGCTTTTGTGTATGAGAATCTGGTCAGCCAAAGGAAATAGACTAAGACACTGGTTTCTGAAGGTTGGCCAAGTCTTTCATAGCATGAGCTAAGATATGTGGGTCACCTCTTTTATTCCATAATGCATATGAACAGAGCCAAAAATCAAATCAGACAAGTCACCTTTTTCTTTTGCTCAACTACTGAAATTGAATTTAGTGTAGTTCCTTCTTTCCGATGTTCATTAGTGGTGCATTTGTGTACTCTGAGCACCTGGCCAGGAGTCTGGGTCAGAGCAGGTACCAATAAAATACCTGTTGAACTGCTTTATCAGTTGTACTTTTCCAGGGCTGCTGCTGTGGCTCTTGCATGGGCAGCATATGAATAGCTATTTACCCCAAACTGCAGAGGCTTCATATCACAAGCTGCTCATAGGTGTGAGTTTCTAGGACTTGGGAAAAGGCCTGCATTAAACCTTTGTGTCTAGTTCTTCTCTTGTTATTAGAGTTAACTTCTGTGTCTATGTGGGCTGTCCACTGACCAGTCTAAGAACTTCAAAGGATGAGAACTTCTGTAGCATTCTAAATTTTCTTCCCAATGGATGTGCTATTTTCTTACCCCTTAGGTCTTCCTATATACAGGTAGAATGTGGTGAAAATTTTTTTTGTGTGTGTGTATGTGTGTTTATATGTCTATTTGCTTTGCAAGTTCTGGGAAAACATAGAATAAAAAGATATTTTCTCAGCCTCTTCTTTGCCAAAGAAAACACTTCTTACATTATCAGCCTACCAAAGGGGTCTGTCTTATGCCTGGGCAGAGGATATAGGTGCCCGTGTAGTATGATCTGAGCAGCACAGGAAAGGTTCTCTTAACCCAAAAATACCATCCTTAGTCCCTAAAGTCACCATTTCTGCCTTAGGTCCCAGAGAATATGCAAAAACCTAATAAAAACAAGCATGCTGAGCTATTATCTTTCAATAATTCACAGTAGCGCTTGTTCATAAAAGGTCTTGGATCATTTCCAAACGTCAACTGCATGAGCAGAATTTTGCTGAGCGTATTGGTAACAAAAGGATGCGGAGCACAGAGTGCTTGAATGCAAGGCTGGGTTGGGGAAAATAGAGGATTGGGAAGTGGTTTACTGTGAAGGCATTGGCTGTCTGAAAACCAGAGAAGGAGGAAACAGTCTCAATGAAATCTCTGCCCACATTTACATTTTGCTTAGGGACAGGCTTGACTGTGAGCACAAATCACAGCCTGTCATATCGCCAGTGCTAGCTGAAAGCCTGAAACCACGCTTGCACTCCCATTGGCATATGGCTTGACCCTGAGTCTTCTGGGGGCTGTGAATCTGTTTCTTATAACATTAAAGAGCACTGTGAAAATGAGAACTTGTTGCTGGGCATTACCTGAGAAACTTAATCCTGTTAAATCTCCCTAAATGACGCTTAAGAGAGTTTTTACACAATAATGAAATATCTTCCTTGTTTCCTAGAGGCAGAGTATGTGTTAAATCTGTATACAATTTTGGGAAAAGCCTGACAAAGAATGGCTCTCCTATGACTATGTGGCCCACTGTATGGGGGTGCTTATTGCTATTGGATATTATAAAAGTTAGGCCATCTCACTATAATTTTACCCTCCTTTTTAGTGTTCTGTTCTTATGTAAGACACTACTCCTGGGACAGTGCCAGTGAGAGTGCTCTTTTCTAGATGGTTCTTTGAGAGTGAGACCCTTTAAAAGCCCTTTGAGTGAATTTCATTGTGACCATTAGGAAGAGAGATGAAGGGGGATAAGAATAAAGCTGACTGGTCTGTAAAGGACTTGAACCCAAGACATTGCCCTCATTGGCTCTGTGCTGAAGCCACACAAATAACGAGGCAAATAACTAGAAGCACATAAGGATGATTCTGTTGCTGGGGAATAAGAAATACAAGGGAAAGGAGAAAGAACACCTGGCATCATAAAACACAATCATCATTGCCAAGGCATGTTTGTTTTACTTGATTTTGTTCAATTTTATGTTATTTTAAAATCATAAAATGCTAAATTGGTAATGGGTTGTCCAGTCTCCTCACTTTACAGAAGAACTAATTCAGTGAGGTTAAATGTTTTCTCTGAGGTCGCACAACTAGAGTACATCCAAAAGTAAAACTGAGGTCTCCTACCCATCACTTCAGTTCTTTTTCATTATATAATATCCTAGTAAAAGATGATGTCCTTTTGGAAAAGTTAACAGTGAAAAAAAAATACGAATTCTTACATCTTGAAATTCCACTACAGTAATCATTATGAGCCATATTTTTAAGAGATAGAAGGCCCAGAAGAAATTTCCACTGTTAGATTTTGCAGGACAAATATTCCTCATAATGTACTGCAAGAATAAGGTTCTATTAACTTCATTATACTTTTATTTTACATAATCCAATCATGAAGTGTTGAATAGAAATCATAGCTCCCTTGCAACAACTTTTATATTTTTAGGGTGGAGGAACCACAGAATAAAGAAACTCACAGTCCATATATTGAAGGAAGCTCCCATTTGGGGGATGTGAGTTTATGGTCCTTAGTCACAGTTTTGCTTTCAGGCCATGACACAGGGGAGGGTTTAAGTGTGTGTGCGTGTGTGTGCATGTATGTGCATGTATGTGTGTGTGTGCATGCATGTGTTTGTGTGGGCACCCACCCTAATACCTCTGGAGTATTCTTTGATGTTGCTGATTTTTTACTTGATAAATCATCCTTTTTAAGAAGAAAATGGCAAATAAGAGAAACTGAAGTGAAAAATATGTTTCAGTGTGGGATGCAAATACCCTGAGAGAAAGACAAGTGACTACAGGTTTGCCTCCACCAGTAGGAGTGTGCTGAGTAGCCACAGATTCAAGGCAAGTACAGTCTTCTCTCTGGTAACAATAAAACTCGCCCCAGAAATCAAAGCCTTTTCTTGACCCAGAGCTCTGCATCCTGCCTCAGGATGTTTTCTGATCATAAAATGTCAGCTTTTCACACTGTGCCTCTTTATTTGCAAGAATCATTCCCAGGCTGCCTGTATAGCTGTTTGACACTTGTAGCTATGATAGCATTTGGCTTATGAGGAGGCTGGGGAGTGAATTACCTTTCCTACCAGCTTACATTTCAATAGCAAATGCTCTCTTTTAATTTTGGGAAAAATTACTTTTGGCTTTTAAGCACAGATGGGAGTCACAGTTTCTCTTAGGAATGATCAATTCCTTCATGGTGTCCTATTCTTTTCTCCCCCACTGAAAGGAAGACAAATGTTGGCTATACCAGGTCCCTGGTTCTGATAGCAGTGCAGTTTTGATGGGCTAGTAGGAGTGGAAAGACCCTACACAAGCCCTTCAATTTATCCTTCAGCCTCTTAACAGTTTGCATCCAGATCACTAGAGTAATTGGGAATTGCATATTAACTAAGTCAGATCTACAAGCAACATTGAAAATCTGTGTTATATCTAAGATGTTTTAGTAGCTATGGGCTATTCTGGATAGTCACCATTTTTCTCTCCAGATGCTCTCTATCCTTCTTTATATGGCTGTCACCCCTGGATGATATACCACATGGACCTTAACCAAGGGACCCCTTGTCTTATGGCATCTGGTTGGGTTGGCCAGTGGGAGGACCTGGCAGCTTGTCACAGGTTGAGAGGAGAGAGAGGTCAAGGGCATTGTTTTTCTGCTCTTGCTGTACATGGTCATTGACTACATTGACTGGGCTGCTCTGCCTAAGGTCACTGCTTTTGCTGGGCAGTCCTTTCCCCAACTCCAGCATCAGTTAAAACCACAGTTCTGTATTCTGGCACCTTCTCTTTCCCCATTCTCCTCAAGGGTCCTTGGTAGTAATGGCTCTGGAGATTGTCAGCCCATGTTGTGTTGGTTTACTTGAAGCCAGCCAGCACTTTTTTGAACAGTTCCTTTACCAAAAGCTCCTCAATTAGATGATTTTAGTGTGCATCTCCTTCCTGCAGGGGCCTCCTGACTGATACAAGGAAATACTTCTCCTCAAGGAGTTTATAGTTTATTTTTGGAAGCTGATCTAATAAGGAGGAAAAATAATATAACATTGAGGAAGTAGACAGTGTGACCTGACAGCGACAGGACGGAGGTCATTGTAGGAAGATGTGCAAGGCATCACAGAGGACCTGTAGCTAGAACTGCACTTCAGAGCAATGTGGAGTGCTCACTTCAGCAGCACAGGTACTAAAATTGAAGTGATGGAGAGAATTTGGTAGGTGATAATTGTGATAGAAGAAGAAACAACCCAAGGCTACTGCTCTCTACCCCTTGGGGTTGGCTCATTTCATTGCTGAGTTACTTTCTCCCAGGGAAACTCCTTCCTTACATCAAATTGCAATGATTAATTTTATGTGTCAACTTGATTAGGCTCGGGCGCTTGCATACCTGGCAAAACATTGCTTCTGGGTGTGCTTGTGAGAGTGTTTCTGTAAGAGATTAGCACTTGCAGCAGTAG